CAAACACAACCATTGCAGCCATAATGCTTTTGTTTTTAAACTGAGAAGTGGCATTGTCGCTGAACATGTGTACTTCTTTGACTCGATTAGGAATAAAGTGAAGGATTTTGTCGATGTACGGTATAGCTGAAGATTTGTATGATCAGTAAAATCAAAAACTATAGCAAATGTTTTTAACTCAACGTTCCAGACTGCAAAGGTCATGATAGAAACTTGGTTTAGGCCAAAATGAGCCGTTTTCGGTTCATTTTAATAGAAACACCTAGCGTTCTCAGCCCAGTCAACTTGAATTACCGTAATTTCAGAATTAATATTCATCGAAACTTACTTCAGTTTCTTAAAAATTGTTGATTGGTTTTTCTTTATATGCGTGTTTAACAAACTTATCACGCATCGCTGATATGTGCTGGATAAGTTCTATTACAGAAGACTTCTTTGAAATTTTTTTAATGTTTGCATACGTTTTAGTTTCAGGCTTTCTCCACTCGTCCGAGGATACTTCGAAATCAAATGTATCAACAGTTTGCAAATGTTTATCAAACTGTTTCATACCTTTGCATGCAACACAATTGTCATAGGCGCAATCGCTTGTGAACGGTTCACAAACAAAGTTATTTATCATTTCAGATCCAACTTTGATTGAAGGCGCTTGAATTGATTTTGTTAATGCATCTAAGGCAAATCGCATATTTTCATGCAAACTACAAACACAAACATTATGTGGAAATTTTATGACAGATTTCACATTGCGTGGACAAAGTTCGCAAAATTTGCTGAGTCCAATTTTGATGTGCTGATGCTTTTCCTTAAATAGCGCGAAAGCTTCTTTTAGCGTATAATATAAATGACGTATTGGAATATTGTTTGTTTTTCTGTCAGATAATTGAATTCGAGTGACATCTTTTTGATTTGGTGATATTTGGGAAACTTCATCTTCATTATAAAAGTTTACAACTGCTAAAACATCACTTTCAGAAAGACCATACAGCTTTGAATATGATGGAGGTAACCCGGATTTTCTTTACATGCAGAGCTGCTTGAAAGAATAGAAAGAATTTCAGCTTGTTTTTTCTTTGAGTTTGGTAGTGCTTTTAAAACCTTTTTCAATGCTTTTCCTCTTTGTTGAACGTTTTTAAAAGATGAGCTTAGTCTTTGAGATTGATTTATAAGTTTTCTTTTTAAAGCGCGACTTTTTATAACTCTAAGTTTTGCTTTAGCAGAATAAGCTGCTTTTTTTATTAGGGTCGGCTTTCAATTTTTCTCGATATCTCTTAGATCTTTCTCTGGACATTTGTTTCTTTTTATCAGGATTCTGAGAAACATAATTAGCTTGGTACTCTGCATAAAGTTTTTTTTTACTTCTAATTTTGATTATATTTCTTAAAGTATATAACTTTATAAGAAAATGCCAACATAAATAAATAATTTACAAATATTTAACGAGAGCCCTTCACAAAGTTAAAATGCAAAATTTAATCGACCGAACCCACAACGAAATCTGAATTTTTAGATGATACTTTGACTTTCTTACCGCGTTTTTTTTTAAAACGTTAATTATCCCGTTGATGGGTTCAGTGACACAACAGCTTTTAAACATTAAATATAACTTAATATAACGCTTTTTAACCAATTTTTTTTTAATAGTGATAGAAAGTTCCCACTATAATATAGAATATTTAAAAAAACCTCGCCCTAAAACCTCATTTCATAGTGATAAATAAACTTTTTTATCTTTAAGTTCAGTGACGCAACCTAATTTTTGCAGATGAGTATGTGGTGAAAAAACACTTGAATTATTTTCAAAGTTTACAAGTGTGTAAACTCAATTCATTCATATAATCTCAAAGAATCTTTTTAAATAAAAATATGGATATATTTTGCTTAGAATGTTGCAATAACTTGCCCTTAAATTTTACTAACTTTTTTAAATAATAAAAAGAGAAAACAACTGCTAGCATTCATCAAATTTATCGACTCGGTTCAAATATTTGCTATTCAAAATTTATTTTAACAATAATTTTAAGGTGTTTAAATTACAATTAAAGAAAAAAAGTATTTAAAAAAAAGAAATTTTTAAGCACGAAATTTATCCCTTCCATCGTGGAATTAGCCATATGCTTATACGACCAATATTGGACTATGGTCCTAAACTTTATACGCAACATAAAAAGTAAAGTAACTTGGAAAATTTACTCACTGTTAATAAAAATTACTTCTTCTTAGTCATGAATAGTAAAATCCAATCATTGAAAAAATATTTTCTTTCTCAGAATGTCAAAGAGCAAAATTTGTCTACCAAATTTCAAGTTTTTGTGTCAAAGAACAAAAAATCAATCAACATTAGTATTGATTTTTGATCTAATGACACAACACAATAAACCATTTTACAAACATCTGGAAAATAAAGTGAAGATAATTAAATAACTTATTATATAGTATATATATATATATATATATATATATATATATATATATATATATATATATATATATATATATA